AGATGTTAATGTTTTTCTTATTTCACAGAACAAGAAGAAAAAATAATAAAAGTGCTCTGATTTGTCTACGATAGTTTTTTTTTGTTTAGTTTTTGTAATTATTCTTTTCATCCACAATTCAAGAGCAACGTCTTATTTCACTAAATTATAATTTATCAAATTTCTATTTATTACTACTTTTTTCAGTTTCTAGGTATTTGACTGACTATTGTGAATTTTGTCTTTTCTTTAATGGAAGGGTGTTAATTTTTTCACATTTATATTTTGGGACAAATTGATTTTCTGGGACATTTAATATTATTTTTATCTTGTGGGACATATTAATAATTTTGCTCTTTTTTTTTACTCTTTGGGGGAAACATTTAAGTTAAGATATTAGATTGTGGTAAGCTTTGTAGGGGGGATTTAAGTTTTTTCATGAAGATATTATTAATATATATCTTTTCATCACATCAATACTTTCAATTTTTGTGATAATTTCTGAACATTTTAAGTGTGTTTTATTAAATGCTTTCACAATTTCAGCAACATTTTAATATAATAATCAGCTGCTCATTGTCAGGTTGGGTGTGTATGTCGTCAACACTGATAACAACGTTGACTCATTTCATAGCTGCCACTAAAAGCTAGGAGCTGTTTCTTGGCTTCTCGTTCAACAGTAGCTGATCTCAGATCTGTGTTGAAACTTGAGTTAATCATGACTTCAGTTACTTACAGAGGACAAAAGCTGAACGTATGGCATTTGATGCAACTGACTCTGTAGGTCAGTACGTGAAGTCCAAACACAGACAGACGATACCGTATATTCTGGACTACAAGTCGCTACTTTTTTCACCTGCTTTGAACACTGTGGCTTAAACAATGATGCAGCTAATTTATGGAGTTCTACGAATTTGCCTCGAGATGAAAGTGACATTGAGAGAGACAACGAGAGACTGAGGAAGCGACAAAGTAATTCTGAGGCTGTTCAACTCCGACACTGAAGAAGACGACTTTAGTGGTTTTAGTGGCAGGAGGAAGATGAAGATGAAGATCAATGACTTTTCCTGGTCGGCTGCTGTAGTTTTGATTTTTCTTAACCAGCCGTGTTACAGGCACTGTTCAGAAAAAAGCATTTACGTATTTGTGTATGTTACTGGGACGCATTTAATCAAAAGTTAAAAAAATCTTTCTGTGTAAATATCTCATGTTCCAACGTGGACACCTGCAGCTCATAGACAAGTGCGGCCTGTATATGTACAATTTCTTTTTCTTTTTAAAGTTAGTGGGTGCAGCCAGTAGTCCAGAAATGATGGTAGTCAGCTAACGGTGACATAAAGCAGTTCTAGTTTGTGCAGAGAGAGTTTCTGAACATTTGCTAAATACATTACTGAAATTATGACTCGACTTCTTGAATGTATTTGCAGCTTGTTAAAGTTTCTGCTCGTCACTGTGAAACCAAACGTTCAGATTCGGCAGTAAAAGTAAAACGTCGGCTCTCCTCACCAGCCGTAGGTCTTCTGCGGTTTGGGCAGCGGGTCGTCGAAGAATGAATCCCCCTCGTCTAGGTCGTCCTCCCCCTCCAGGTCCAGGTCCAGACGCTCCCTCCTCAGACCAGCCGAGGGCGTCTTGTTGTTGGAGGCCGGTTGCTGGGAGTCTCCTTTACCCAGAGGGACCCCACGCTCCGAGTCCTGAGCGACAAACACAACACAAGTTCAGGTGAAATCCTCAGCAGCTACCAGCGGTGCTGAAAATCCCTCCAGACTGTTGTTAGAAAGGTGGCGATGAAGGATTAAAGAGGGAAACGAGGCGGCAACTGTTGCTGCTTAAAGTTGTCCTGTGTGTCACTGCCGCTGAGCAACAGTTGCAGCAACCATGTCTCAGCCCTGATGTTGCACAGCAGATGATTTACTGAAAATACCAGCCAATTTTATAAAGGAATTTACTGAAACGTCTGGTAGAGCAACTGTAAATTGTCAAAGTAAAGCTGGTGTTCACCAACAAATGCAGAAGAGGATCAGCTGCACTTCACATGACGGATTCAGTGATCGGGTCAAAACTATGTAAATTTAAACAGATTCATTTTTTAATGAGAGAAATCAACATTTTAACTATTAAGGTCTTATCAGTTTTTAACACAGATGACAAAAACATACATTTAAGCTCTTTTTTTGTTGTTATTTCCTGGCAGACACAACCCCGTGCCTTCAGTAAAACCTAAAGCCACAACATGAAAACGTACCACTCATGTTATCGTCTATGGAAAAGGAATCTGGTGCTTTTTAAACCTTTCAAATCCTGCAGACAGGCGTTTGCAGTGCAGCTGATTCCACACAGGCTTGTCTTTGTGCTGACGCTGCTTTAGTTTGAACATCAGCTTTCATTTGAAAACTTACTGCAGAGTGAACTGCACTTAAAGCCGCTGATCGTCAGCCCCATTCAGACGGGATTTACATTTCAAGAGGAGGTGGGGGATAAAACATTTCTGGTGCTTTAGCTCGTGGTTCAAATGGGATTTAAAACTTGGTGAGGATGAAGGATCTGGTTTGTGATAAACATGAGCATCCGGCAGAGCAAACAAACACAGGAGTACAACTGAGTTTCTGCTTAGACTATCAGAGCAGACCAGTGAAAGTTGTCTGTGTATCCGTGATGCACTTCAAAGAGGAGCTGCTGACGAATAATCCTTAAACTCACAAATCTCCCCTGCAGAAATAAATCCAGTCCGAATGGGGCTTAGGTGTCTCTGTTAAACTGCGAATGATTGAAGCAGACAGGTGAGTTAGTGCGTCAGGTGATGACATGAATCAGGTTTAAGGGGGAAATTCACACGGTCAGACTGTTTTTATATTTATAGGGCAGAGCTCCTGAAAGCAAAAAATATCACGTTTCCCCTCCTACTGAATGTGGCAGCGAAGTCAGAGTGAAACTGAAGTGGGCACGTTCTCACAGAGGCACTGGCATGTTTACAGACTGACACTAACGTCCAATTAGAGCAGACCTGATACCTGTTCCTGTCTGGCATCTGGTTGAGCTGCTGGAAATCATGCCCGACTAGTTCTGAGTCCCTGTCGTCACTCCTAAACAAGGTGAGCTACTCCTGCAATAGCTGCCACTTTATATTTTTAAACTATGAAATATATCAGAATAATACAGAAATAATAGAATAAAAATCCCGAGAATCAGTTTCCTAAGTTTTCTCTACTCTAAGCTGACAGTGAGTTGGAGGAAGAAGAGGTCAGAGATGATATCAAAGCAGCATCTGATGGTCAGAGTTAGTAGCAGAGGTGCCGTTCATTGTGACAGTGAGTGTTAGCGTGAAGTGAGACTCCCCTCTGCTCTGCATGGTGTTACCTTGGCTGCTGTCTGACTCTGTCCTCTGTGATTTTGGCCTTTATACCTGGGGATCTGTGCACGACAGGGACAGCAGCCGTAAGATCTACACACCTGACACCGAGCCAATATCAGCTGTACACATCTCTCACTGAGCTAACAGCTAAAATGCTAACATTAGCTCTACACACCTGACGCTGAGCTAACACGTCAACCTCATTTTCCACAACTGATACTGAGCTAGCATGCTAACGCCAGCTCTTTACACCTGACACTGAGCTAACATGCTAACATCACTCTACACACCTCACACTAAGCTAACACGTGAATATCAGTGCTACACACCTGACACTAAGCTAAAATGCTAACATTAGCTCTAAACACCTGACGCTGAGCTAACACGTCAATCTCATTTTCCACAACTGACACTGAGCTAACATGCTAACATCACTCTACACACCTGTCACTGAGCTAACATGCTAATATCAGCTCTATACACCTGACACTGAGCTAATGTCAATCTCATTCTCCACAACTAATACTGATCTAACATGCTAACATGATTCGACACACCGGACACTAAGCTAAAATGCTAACATTACTCTACACACCTGGCACTGAGCTAATATGTTAACATCACTCTACACACTAAGCTAAAATGCTAACATTAGCGCTACACACCTCACACTAACATGCTAGGTTGACCTGTGCACCATGCAGCCTAATCCAGTCCAAAAAACTGCTCTCCCACAAAGTCGACTTTCACAACACTGGAAAAGTTTTAGCGCTGAGATAACGTTAGTGCGATTGTAGTTGTCTGGCTAATTAAATCTGTATATTCATGTGCTTATACTGGTTTGTTTGAAAATAGAGCAGGCTGAAATAAACCAGAATTATCTTTTAACTACACAGAACAGATGATATCTGCACCTGGTTTGACCAAACCTACCTTGCTGACAGTTGGAGAGCGTATTTTCTCTTCAGGAATCTGACTTTGAGGTTGACTGACATCAGAGTCCAGAACAACCTGAACAAAGATGACATCAATACAGGAGAAAATGTTTTTCTTTCACCGGCATTAATAAAGTGACCACCATGTGCAGTTCTTCGAAAAGCAAACAGATGTTTGGATAGAAGGTCCTGCATGACGGCTGGTTACCTGCAGGACCTTCAGGTAATTACATCTGCAACAGAAAGCACTAAACTATTGGATTTTTCATTAAAGCTTGATTGTGGAGATGCTGAATAAATCAACTTTATGCAGAGACATCATCAGATCTATAATGTGTAATGAAGGGAAGCTACACCATCAAATCCGGCTATTTTAAACCTGGTGATATTTTGGGAAAATCAACAATAACAGTAATTATTAAAGGACCATTCCAACATTTCAAAAGCTCCTTGTTTGTCTACAAGTGATCAGCTGAACTGGATTTACTGTCCTTTTAGTTTTTGAGAATGTATGGAAATGAACTGGGATCAGCTAAACTCAATATTTTGTATCTTCTCAGACGTAACTGAAGGATTTTTAGAGGCTTGAGGAGTAAAAATCTGAAGCTCTATGTCCTGGTTCATGTAGCTTCAGCAGCACAAAGGGCCACAGAAAACTGAATGTAAACCACAAGGTGTGGCGGTCAATAGCTTCATTCTCAGCAGACATCAGTGGTCTCATTACACTAAAACAGCTGAGCCAATCACAGTGAAGTATAAGAGCTCAAAAACAGAGAGAGGCGTCTCTAAGGCTTTATAATAACATCCAGGCTCAACAAGTCCTGGACCTCGTTCTGTCCTGGACACACATCGGATGCAACTGGTGGCCTGATCAAACACTAGGAGGGTCTCACCACACTTCTGCACTGACTGTAGAAACGCTTGTACATTCCCACGAAGAACTGGAAGTCTATCGCTGCAAACAAACAGAGCAAACAGTCAAATACACAGCCATCACTAAGTCTTAGCCTTCATTAGACTTCCTCACAGACTTCAACAAAATGTGGCTAAAAACAGACGAATCTCAGCAGGTTTGACGGTTTCAAAGTGAATTAATGAACCTCCAGGCTTTAAAAACTTTAACTGATATTGAACTGCTATTCGTCGTGTTAGAGGAAGTGTTGGAGTTACAATTAAAGGAAACTTACTTTTAGAGAAGATTTTGTCTGCAGCTCGGAGCTCGTCAGTGATGAACCTTTCCATCATGTTCCTGCAGGTCACAAGCAGAACGTTAACCATCAGCATTACGCTCATTCAGCTACTCAGCTCTGTGTGGCGACAGCCACCGAGTGTTTAAGCTGTCTGACCCACAGAATGACTTCAGGCACAGAAAATCCTCCATTTGTAATGAGGCCAAACCCAAAAGAGCTCCAAGAGCAGCTCACACAGACGTAAGACTCCAGATGAGCTGAAGCAGTTTTTTAAATCTTCAATCACTTATCAAATCCAAGCATTTACTACAAAAACTAAACCAGTTTATGCCTTTTAGCTTCAGCACATCGTGTTTGTGAACAATTTGGACTTTTTAATACAGAAAACAAGGCGATCCTCAGGGTTCATTGACTTCTTCCTGCCATTCTTTGGAGAGTTTGTTGATAACATTAACTATTAAATTACCAGAAGACAACGTTAATGAGAGGAGTCTGATCAGATTTGACAGCAAACAAAATCACGTCGGATTTTAAATCAAACGTTGCAGAACGAGACACAACAGAGCCTCAAAAACAAACATTTGGCAGAACGTTCATACCGAAGCTCCCAAAGATCTTCAATCTGTCATCACGAGATTCAGAGGATGTGTCTAAAGTTGTGCAGAAACCAAGCATATTTCCATCTGCCTTGCTTTTTGGTATACGAGGCGTGTCAGAAAAGTTCCAGGACAGGTGTCACAAAGGATATACTTCAAATCCAAACTACAAACTACAAGTTTTCGCCTTCGAAGTAATCCCTCCTACACATGCACTCCTGGAAGGATTCTTCCAGGATCCTCTGCAGCTCCGTCATCACAACCATCTTCTAAACGGGTCCCCTTGATGAATCCCTTGAGCTTGGGGAAGAGGAAACAATCCCATGGAGCCAGGTGGGGTGAGTAGGGAGGTTGCTCCAGCACGGCGATGTTCTTCTCAGCCAGGACCTGTGGGATGCTCAGGGTGTTGTGAGCAGGCGCGTTGTCATGATGAAGCAGCCACCACTGGTCCTGCCACAACTCTCACCTCTTCTGGCGCACTGAACGAAGCAAACGCTGCAGGATCTCTTTGTAGACGTGCTGATTGATTGTCTGAAGGGAAAAACTGGTAGTCTGGGTTTGAAATATGTCTTTTGTGACACCAGTCCTGGAACTTTTCTGACACACCTCGTATAACTAGTCTATAACTGAGGGTGAAGAGGAAATAAGATTATATATTTCATACTTGTTCAAACTTGGGAACAAATCCATGAAGACGCTCGTCAGATCTTCTGTTGCAACAGAGCCGCTCCGGTCCTGCAGGTGGAAACAGGGAACGATAATAAGAACTCTGTCTGTGATTGGTCAGACACTGATGACATCAATCACAGGTAACCAGAGCGCCTCACTCACCTTGTCGTAAAAGTCAAACTTCTTCCGGGCGTGCGCGATCTGTTTCTGAGGCAGGTCCTGTGAGAAAAAGGCGAGATTTGTTTGTAAAGATGAAGTCTGTGACCTCGTGTTCCCCTCTCAGGATGTGTTTATCGTAGCTTTCATTAGATTAAAATGCTGATGCTCACATTGAACCCTGCAGCTCGGTGAGAGCAGCTGCACAACAACAGACCACAACGAACCACAAATCATCCATAAAATGCTGAGCACCTTTATTCATCGACATCTACTGACGCTCTCACACCTGCTGAGGACGACGTTCTGATGCTGTAACCGGAGCTGACATTATTACAGGCTGTACTTTGAGTTCATGCTAAACAAAGTCCTGTTTCTTAGAATTACAAAACAGACAGCACACAGCAGAAACGTTCACAGCTATAAGCGACGCCTCAAGGATAATTCAGCTAAATTCAACCTGACATATTTCCTGTTAATATCAAGATATAGTTTATTATCCCTTTGTTAAATGTCTGTTCCAGGCAGCTGATTTCTGCTTCTTTTCAGTCAGACTTATATATAGATAGAAAGTTGTTTGGTGAGACTTGTGTTCCCCTGAAAGGAAGGTTCAGAGATCAACGGAGCTTAGAGACACATTAAAGCGCTCATATTCTGTTTTATGGGTTTTCCCCTTCGCTAGGTGTGTTATGAAGCTGCTGCAGTGAATAGAGGTGCTGCAGCAACGTATAGCCTGAGAAAAATAATGTGTTTTTAAATATTAAAGCAAACCTGAGTAGGCCACAAAAATAGAATTCTAAACCTGTAAATGTGCAGGATGTGGGCTCTTATCACACTGAAGTACCCTTTCACTGATAAGTACAATGACAATGAAATAGTTTCTCAGCGCTGTCGGTGACGTTATCCACAGCTCACCACATGAACGTGCACAGACCTGCTGCCAGAGGTCAAACTGGGCAGGAACCCTCCGACGCTCAGCTCGTCTCTTTGAACTCTCACACTTCCTCTTTCAGCCCGTCTCACCCTGACTCAACAAATGCAGACTGTCCTTTTTCTCTGACTTCATTAGACAGCTGCAGCATCACACAGCAGCTGGATCAATACCGGGACCCCACACTGGGGAGGCACAGCGGCGGTGGCTTCATTGTGAGCTGACTGCAGCTTTGTGAAGTGAAATGTTTTCCTGCACAGTCAGAGAGCTGAGCTGCTGCAGTGAAAGGCTTCAGAACAAAGAAGAGTCCATCAGAGGGGTTTTCTGCCAAGTCCTGCAGAATCACTGGAGTTTATAATCTGAGGATTATTATCGGAAGGTCTCAGCACAGAATACTAATAAAAACATGTAACTCAACTGGATCTGTAAGTTCTTTCCCAGACTGTAGCTGCCTTAATGCAAAACACCTCTGGTCTTATATCTGGCACCAATTTCACTGTGAAAAAACAACATAAAAATGTGTTGCCTCTGAAATGTCACACACGGCTTTTCCACCAGGAACAACCAGGTGCGAGATTCAGAGCTTAGTTGGTTCAAATCTCGCACCTCCTACAAACCTGTTTGCTTTTCCATCGGCAAGGAGCCATACGTGACTCATACGCAGCCGTTTGCTGAACAACACAGAAGTCCACACAAGACTCCAGACTTATTTACTGTGGCGACCAACTTTCTCATTTGGTCGCACTTCCCACCTTGTCACAGGCCAAACATATGACTTGCTGAACATTTTCTTATTGATAGACTCTAAAATTTACGATGGTCCCTGAACGCCCCAAATAGCAGGCTGTGGTAACAGCTGCTGGCGGCCGCGGTGATCAGACCGGTGTGCGACCAACATGACTTTAAAAAGAGTAAACCAGGGCGTTCTAATGTCAGATTTGTCCAAGATGAAACGGAGAGATTTTTTCTCGTGCGATCTTTTCTATGAGCCGAAAAACAGTTCGTGCAAAACTTCCATGTGTCCCGGGACTCATTCCAACAGATCTGTGATCAGACCAGAAACGTCCTGGTGAAAAACAAATCACCGCTTGTGTGTCCCGTTCTGTGTTCCCATTGGTCTCGTTGGTCACACTAACCCGCCCCCAGCCCCTGATGTACTCGGTTCTTAGCTCTGGCCCAGCAAAGAGTTGGTGTTTGCTAAGCACCAGTTCTGAGAACCTAGAGCCGGTGTTGAGGTGAAACACAAAGAACTGGTGCTAAGTCAAGCTCTCAACTAGCACTGGAACCAGCTCGGTGGAAAAGAGGAAAACAGTGGAGAAGAGCAGATTTTATCAACAGTAGCAGCATCTGAACAATCTTGGTGCACAGAAAGCACGTTCTCACTGGAACCTTCAACTGAGGAAACACTGTGACAACAAAGAGTCGACACTTAGCTCAGACTGCTAGTCACATTTCAGCTCAGTGGACTGAGGACTGCTGGAAACTAGACCCACCTTCTCAGACTGACACACAGACCGAAAATGAGCAACAACCAGCTGATCAGTGACAGCCAATCAGACTGGCTCTAGTGTCTAATGAAACAGAAGCAGGCCAGGGGGTCAAACAAAAACAAAGCTGAACAAACTGAGAGGCTGCTGCTGTGTTCAGCCAACAAACGTCAGAACAGTGGATGCAAATAACAATCTGCAGCCCCAAGAGCAATGTGACGTCCAAACACAGACGGCTTCCTGTTTCTAAAATCAATTACGGATCAGCCATGACATTCCTGAAGATTTGCTCCTTCTATCTGAACGATTAGTAAGACGCATTAAAATGAAGCTACGAGGACGTCTCTGTGTTCATTCAGTCGCAGTTGTAGGAGCGGTGGGAACAGTAGTACTATTACAGTCTGTCCATTGCATGATCTGACAGCGAAAAGTGAAGCTTCAGCAGCAGAAACCAGGACACACCGAGATCAACAGGAAACCAGAGAACCACTTCTTCCACCTACTGAGAGTGAAACATCCGAAGACCCAGATTTCGCTCAACACTGCACGCTGGCACACACACAAACACCGACACACACTCCCACACACTCCCACACACACACACACATCACTGCTGTTGAGGAGCAGCAGCAGCGATTAACGTGGACGACTTGAACATCTGCATTGTCGAAGCGCCACTTGAGTCCAACAACAAAACCAGTTTCCAGCTCACCTTGGGGATGTTTCCGCTCCTGTCTCCCTGTTCACACACAGACACAAAGAAGGAAGGAACGATCAGATGTAATCGGTTTTCACTCATTTCACGACCTGCAGTGACACCACACTTCATTTCACGTGAACCAGATCGGCCCGTGTGTTGCTCACCTCAGAGGGGACGGCGGCTTTGTCTTTGTGTCGTCCTTTCCTGACGAGCTCCAGCAGCACCGGAGAGTTCTTGTTCAGCTCCGACTCAGACAGACCCAGCTCTCTGCAGACCAGGTCCCGGCTGTCCAGGCCGTTCAGCTGCACACAAACACCTGCAGTCAGCTGGAGGAGGCCTGGTTCTGTCTGTCTGTCTGTACATGACTTCATTTAAAGTTTATCTGGGGACAAGCTGAGGACTTTGAGGAGCTTCTACGCTCCGTGAACAGACTGCTCCGTCGTATTTGTGGGTACAAATAGCTAAAGATTTGTCACAACTGGTTTATAAAAATATTTTTGAATGGTTGTTAATAAGAATTTGTACATTTATTTATAAGCAAACACATATTATCCTGGCAGCTTGATGCTTTAGGTTTTTAAACATTGAATACGTTAAGATGATAATTCTTTTATGTGGTTCTTAAAGAGCAGTGAAGCAGCTCTGTTGGAGTCACTTACAGTAAGCAAGTGACACCGACTCAGTTTCTACGTAACCTCAAACCTTTCTGACAGCAACTGATGCTGATCAGACGACAGATAAGCTGAGAGATATGTGAGAAGATACTGATCCACACCTCATCTGAGATTTAAAGGTTGGCAATGTTAGACTTTGTTTTTTTTTTTGCTCTATTGTTTATCTGCTGAGTAACATTTTTCCCATTTCTTTTAGGCCTATGAGACATCTTCCCATCAACGCCCATCAAATATGAATTTCAGCTGAATGTAATTTGGCATTACACAGTAATAATGAATGTGTGTTGCTTCAGGGAAACAGTTTGTATTCATACTGTGACTATTTGGAGGCAGAACCTGAACATTTAAATATTTTTACACTAAATAAAGACAGTTCTATAACTTATCCATCATTTTAACTATTCATCCATCCATCCATTATCTATACACCGCTTAATCCTCACTAGGGTCACAGGGGGCTGGAGTCTATCATTTGAACTATTCTGTCCATTACCTACAGCAGACATCCACATCTGTGCACTGCTAATTCAAGCAGAGAGCGTTTCAGTTGCTATTTCATATCAACAGCATGTCGTCATAGTTATTAAATGCTGAATGTTACTGTGATGCTCCAAGCACAACATCCACAGAGCATAATGCTGACTGGGATAAGCAGATCGTTGGGTTTTTGTTTAAATACATCTGCAGTCGTGACTCGATGATCCGACACTAAATGTAAAACCTTCTTTTATGTCGGATTGTCAAGACGGAGGTCGAGATACAAGGAGGGCTTGATGCTGGAAGGCTCATTTGTTGTTAATATTTATTGTTTTAATAACTAGTGTATTGTTAGAACACTACGCATCGCTGGATTTCACGCCTAACTGACCAGTGCGATTGTGCACGTTCCGGCCACCCCATTGGAGCGCACCCCCGGGATGGAAGTAGCCGGGACGCACAGGCAGCACTTGGCTGTTGATGCCAGTTCAGTTAGCGGTCACACTTCTGTTTCCACCATTGGCGGCAGCGAGGAAGTGGTGCACAAAATACGCACCATTGTTACCATCTGCGTTTACTTCCATAAACACTGAGCACGCTCGCGGCGTGTGACGTCGTCGTGTCCTCTTCTGCCCATGCGAGACACTTTTGGGTCGTATGAAGTTCACACAGCAGATCACATACGAGTTGTATTTAATTGGAAATGTGAACAAACTCACAAAAAAACTGGATTTCACAAAAAAATCTGAATTGAGCATCAAGTCCTGCAGTCTGAACGTAGCCAATCTGTGGGATTGTTCAGTCAGATAATACGCCGTTATCCTTATTTGAAATTAAACATATACCAGCAGCAGTAGCATGAAGTAGACAAGATTTATGGCTACTGGTCCTCTGAGACTAAATCACTGAGCATTTCTGATTCGTCGTCCTTTGTGTATGATGACAATAAAAGCATTCTGTTCTATTCTATTCTATTCTAATCTATTCTATTCTTATCCGTGTCTGAGGTTGAACTAAATGTAAAACGTGTGTTTCTGAAGCGTGCTGTGTTTCAACAACACATTCCACGGAAACCATCACACAGCAGTAATATGTCAATGCTTGATTTTAGTTTCACACTCACGAACCACAGAAACGAAATATTGAGTCACACTGTGGTCACATCATACCAGCGTCTTCAGGTCTTAGCGTGACAGCTGGAGCTCAAAGTGTTAACCACTTCACTCCATGGTTCTAAGTGCTAGAAAGCTCTACCCTCCACCAGGGCCGTACCACCAAGTCGGGCTTTCTTTTTTATTTTTTAAGTTATTTTTTGGGGCGTTTTTTGCCTTTATTTGATAGAGCAGTAGACAGAGAGACAGGGAAGTGGGGGAGAAGGACGGGGGAAGGAAAAGGGCCATGAGCGGGATTCGAACTCATGACCTCCACATCGGGGACTGTAGCCCCTGTACATGGGACGCCAGCTCAACCAGGGGAGCTATAGCGGCGCCCCATAGTCGGGCTTTTTTTGTGTGAGTCGGCTCAACAAAACCTAAAACCCCAGCCAGAGATAAAAGGCATCATGAAGGTGGTTCTCAGCTTTCTGTGTTAACTCTGACTTTTTACTACAGACTCAGCACGCGTTGACATAAAAGGTACACGTGTCATGTAGTTCTTCTTCCGCACGAAATGAACCGATGGTGTTCCGCCTACGTCAGTCTGCGGGTTGTTTTTTATGGAGAGCAATGAGGAATATAAAAATTTATGACGGTAAAAAGCGCCGCTACTGTAAATGAGGAGAAAGAGGAATGCTGGTAGAGAGCGTTAAAGTTGAACTTCAAGCATCATTTATCTAAACATGATCCTGTATTGAAGTGCATTTAGGTCTGACATGTCCCATAATGCAGGATGTCACTTTAATTTTTGGCCAAATCAAAATGAAATTAATGTCATTGATTGAATATTCTCTGTAATAAATATCAGTAAAATAGTGCAGCTGTGTTCTATCAGCTGCAGTACCAGCAGAGTAAATCAGGACCAAACATAGAAACACATTGATGCCATTTCTACATCACCAGCTAATAATTGTCTGGTTTCGAGGCAACGCGACGCATGCAGACGGGTTTTAGCTCCACAGGTTTGCAGATCTGACATCGTCCCTGAATCTGTATCACTCATAAAGAATCATCAGGAAGCTGTTTGATTAAACCTGAAACTCTGAACATAACCTACTTCCCATCAGGTTAGTTCCACAGCATCAGTTACCATGGAGACCAAGCTGGTTGAAAGAGAAAACTCTGACTTTAAGCTCAACAGAACCGGCTAACCCACTGATCTGGCTTCGTAGTGCAGCCCTCATGTCTGCCATTTGTTTCGGCCTTTAGTTTCTTCACATGACGGCTCCTGGAACAGAAACTCCAGAACATTTTATTTGTGCACCAGTGGTTGTCCATCAGCCACAGCATGTCAGCAGAGTGAGCCTTTAAAGCTGTGGGCGCTGTGTGTTGTTACAAATCTTGTGCCGTGTGTTATTTCACACTGATGTTTACAGCAGCGCTCAGGTAAACAGAACAAAAGGAGGCTGCGATCCTGATCCAAGCAGCGCCGGTGTGATGAAAGCCAGATCAGCGGAAAATGCCGAAACCACTGGAGCTTGTTGTTACAGTGTTAGCTGTTCAGAAACTCACCGAGTTGATCTCCGGCTGGAACACGGCGAGGCTGAAATCCAGGTTAAACACCTGCAGGAAGTCCACGATCAGACTGGCCACCAGGCGTCCTGCAGAGACATGAAGCCGGTTCAGGAGACACAGAGGCCACATTGCAGCTGCCGTTTCCAGACGTCTCACCACAGTGCCTCATAGCTGCTGTTTCATTCTTATTTTACAGTCAGAAATGACAATGACTGGGGGGGAGGGAATTAGAATTTTTGCACAACAAATGACAGAAAGTCATTCATTGACAACACTGGTCTACACCCATTTTGGTGTCAAAGTTTTTTGAGCTGATTTTGGACAATTGCAACGTGCTGAATCCAAACATTACATTGGTTTTGCTCAATGAGGTCAAACTTTTGATTTGTCACCACATGAACTTTTTTACATTTTTGCGTACATGTGTGGGTATCTATGCTTTGTATCGTGCAAAATTATTTTTCTATTTCCTGAAATGAACAAATGCTGAAGCCTTTACAAGTTGATACGATAAATATTTGTAGGTGAATTAAATGTAGACAGAAAGTTGACCCCCTGGTTTATGACCAACACTTTAGAGTCACGTGATTTTATCAGACAGAGATGGAGACCAGGTATGAGGGACGCTGGGATGCTGTCATGATGGCTGATGGCTGGACTCTGAAGATACCTGGTGCTGATCATTCCAGGAGGTCCAAGAAGTTCAAGCCCTGAATTCTGAGCAATGCTGATGAAACATGCAATTTACTTGTATTTACCTTTACAAATGTTTACGCTCATCAACTTTTGGATCATTTAGCTATGAAAAGGATTAGAAAATGAAATGTTTCCTCTAAAATCTGATTTCATATGAGAAATACTAAAATAAATCAATCGCTAATGTCAAAAAAGTGTGATCGATTTAGAAGCAAAATCGAAATTTTATTTTTCTTAAATCGAGTTGACATAAAAACCTGACCTGACACAGAGAAGCAGATGTCATGTTTGGATTCAGCGTTGCAAAAATGTCCTAAATCAGTTCAAAAATCCTAGACACCTTCAAAAAAAATATTTTTTTGAACCCAGTGTTATCAAAAATCAGTGAAATTTTTTTTTTCTGTCAATCAGTTATTTGACCAAAATCCAATATGGCTGAGATCTAATAAAATAACACGTGAAAACATTTAAATCTGCCCACTACATGCTGATACATCAAAGCGAATTTCTGTTCTTTCTGGATCTTATTTAATTAAATCAAAGAAACTAATTTGTTTGGTCAATAGTTCATATACCCTCTCAGGTTTTCCACTTGATGATTAATCCTCTAACTGCTGCAGCGCTGCTTCAGAGGTTTCACTTTTAGTTGTTCATTTCTGCGTCCTTTAACCTTTTTGTTATGAACTGGTTGAATCTGCAGTTCCAGTAAACTGGTGGAAAAAGGTTCAGTTGTTGCTGCTTGAGCAGACAAAAGAATGTTTGGTGTTACCTGAAATAATTTCTACAATTCTACAATTTGATTCAGCTTTTATTCAAAGCGACGTCCATCTGAGAGCAGATACATCACAAGGATCTAGTCAGGAGAAAACCATCAAGATAAGTGCCATAGAACAAATTCAAGTGTGATAGTTGATGCCAGTAGCAGGCTGAGTGGGAGGTAATAGAATTTTTGTTTGTTTGTTTGTTTTCAGTCTGTCAAGTGCAAATGTGTTCAGTGAAGATCTGGTCTTTAGTCTTTTCTTAAAGACTGAGAGGGAGTCAGCAGATCGAACAGAGTTTGGTAACTTGTTCCACCACAGAGGAGAAGAGTCCAGCTACCGACCCCGGGCCTGTTGCGGTGGTTGTATCAGGCGGGTTTTGTTGGTCGAGCGTTGTGAGCGTGATGCTAATTTGCTTTTGATTCCTTCACAGTTTGAGGTAATAATTAAATATAAACATGATTTAGTCTTTTTTAAGAAAGTATTTTGTAAAAATGTCACATTAAACATTAAAAGGTTTGCTTGTGTGAAAAGATGGAAACTTTAACAGAAACATGAAGTAGAATAGGACGCTGTTGGCTATAACTCAAGCCTGTTTGTGTTTGCATTGTGTACAAGTAAAGCACCAGAACTCTGTTAACTGCTTCTGTTTGCAGTGTGTCATAGACGTACAGACAACTGTCACTGGACAACAGTAACAATGAAGACAACTTAAAAACAGAAAGATATTTAGAACTAAGAGTTGTCGGGGTTCTATGTGATTTTCTGCATTTTATTCTGATGAACAAACAATCTCCTCAGAAAGTGGAAGTCACACTAAATCTAACCATACAGGTTTAATGTGTTTGAGTTCAGCTCTGACTGACTTCTGACATCTACGCCTCTCTGAAAATCAGATGAGCTAAAAACACACATTAGAACAACTGTTCCAGATCAGGCCTACCCGCAAGATTAAAGAAAAAAAAAAGTCACGTAAACTCTGACAAACCTGCTGCCAGCTCCTTCAACATCAGCCTATGAGACACTATCTTGTAATTACAAGACCTATTAAATCGTTAACTACAACATAAAGTCACTCAGGTACAACTGTGTCTATTTGTAAGGTTTCAGTTGCCTCAGCTTGAAGCAGCAGCGTTATTCAGGCAGAACTGTGGTTCTCCAGCAACTCACATCAACCCTGAAGTGCTAACAAGCTGCCAAATGCAAGAGCACACTCAGATGTGGAGGCTCAGAGCTGTCTGATGGTGTCACGGTGCCTCCCTGTGGTGGCAAACATGGACTACAACAGCTCCTGAAGCCCAGAGTCTCACAGCCATTCATCGTGTAAATCACTGGTTTGTGTCATAACAGGATGCAGTCAGAACTGAGCTCAATAAAGTCTGTCCATTATTCATTCATAAAAAAGCAGATGCAAACAGGAGAGAGTGAGAAGAAAGTCTGAAACCACAAAGCACAGATTTGGTGCTTGAAGCAGGAAATTAAAGGATAAACTCACCGTCTTTACTGTTGAGACATTTCTTCAGGTTTTCATTGACGAGTGGAGTTTTGTTCTGCGGATGACAGAGGTGGGCGATTCAGCAAAGACACATGAGAACAAACTGAACTGTGAATATAATCAGTGTGAAGAGTCACCTCCAGTTTGTCCTGCTCCTCCATGGCCAGAAAAACTGCTGCCCTCATCTCTGCCTGTGGGAACAAACAGGAAACGAACACATTCAATTACATTTTATTGTATTCTTTATCATTATGTTGTAGCTCATTCAGACACAACTGGGATGACACCTTGGTCTTATTCTGATTACAGCTGCAAAGGCTGGTCGAACAGAAAACTAATCAGAAACTCTTTTTTCAAGCACAAATCCTAAAACGGAAAATCGACACATCGTTCTCAGACATGTTGATTTGTTTTTTTCATATCTGATTATGCATGAAAGATTTTTGTAGTATTGGGCTGGAGGTCAAATAAAATGTCAGAAAGCATCATCTTGGGTGCCGAGAAATTATAGCTACCTTTCACTATTGTCAGATTTTTTTTAACATATTGTTTTTCTGTTTGTTGAAAGTAAACTGCACTGATTTATTTCCTTGAGATATTGTTTGGCAAAAAAAAAAAAAATGAGACAACTTACAAATGTGATTGTTAGAATAAAACGACAAGCAAAGACCAACCAGTCATCTGGCAATCCTTGTTTTACAGGCATTGTTGAGTGATAATTTAGTTTCCATTATCTGTTGACTTTGCACACACACACAAAACAAAAAAAACTAACTCATACAAATGTTTTTGGCCATCTAGTGTAAATTCTGTTTTTTGCAGCTTCAATACATCACATTTTTAAAAAACTTATTACACGTATTGAATTATTGTAGGACTCTGTAGTGATCTAATTATTTTCCACACTGATAACAAACTGATCAATGGACACAGTCGGCTGTTTGGACAATGGAAAAGAAAACAACAAGTGGTCTAACAACTGTTTCCAAAGTTGTGTACGCAACTTTAACAAGTAGCTCACAATCAGTTCTGGCACTACACATGTTCAGAAGTTAATGTCGGCCTTAAGGGAAGAAATGTTTTAACTTAAAATAGGATTTTCAGAATAAAATGTCACCGAATAGACTAGCAAAGTAACTAAGCTAAACTAAGCTAACTCAGTTAAGAACCACAGCACTAGCTACGACAGCTAACCACAAGTAACTAACGCTGAAGTTTTGTCGGTTGTGTTTCAGTTTCGAGCAACAACTTTTCATATTGTCATAAAACTCGTTTACAAATTATAACAAAACCTCAAGGCACAAACGTAAACTTGAACTGATGTCACTGCAACTTCATACTGCTAGCTGCTGAGCTAGCGTTAGCCTAGCATAGCTAACCGGCGGTGCGGCTCACTTTAAACGAGCTAAGCGCATTTTTTCAGACCTTCAGCTTGTTGAGCACTCCGCTGTTCTCCAGGTTCTGGATGAGCAGGTCCCTCAGCTCGGTGTCGTCCTCTGCAGCTGACATGTTTATCTGAAGCTAAGCTAGCTGCTGCTGTCACGACAACCGACCAAAACAAACAACCCGGAACTAACTCTTCTTCGTGTGCTTTCCTCGCCGCTTGTGCTTTTCTTCTTCGTTGGTTTTACTTTCACCACCTGCTGGACGAGAGATGGTAAAATCAAGCCACGATTTCAAGCTTAGATATAAGATTAACAAAACAAACCTGATTCGTTTAAATATTAAGGTAAAAAAATCAACTATAATTTGCCAGTTTGTTTAAAATATCAGACTTAAAACACCCTCCATGTTAGTTTTTCCTAACAACTCCCTGCAGGTGTTTCTTCCTTTAGTGCTTTGGCTCCCATCCCTTAGTTGCACTTTTTTTTAACATCATATTTCCACAGTATGACTCCAGTCAGTGCTTCCTGCTTGTCCTGTCCTCTCTCCAGTTCTTGTCCTGTTCTTCATGTTGGTTTCAAACTCTCGAATCCAGTCCTGTTCTGTCCTCTGTAGCTGGAGCTGACTTCTATTTCTTCCTCTGTGCTTTTTCATTGCCGTCATTCAATCCTATCCTGCTCAGACACTCAGCAGTTGCACCATTTCTTTCCTTTCTGTCGCCCTTTTTAACCAGATTCTGACTTTCCTCTGAAATAAAACACAATGTGCAGCCTGCGATCACAGCTGGAGGCTTTTCCAACAGTAATTATTCTCAGTCGATCAATTATTTTGTCCTCTCTTCAACTCACTTTGACTATTATTGATTGTCTGGAAGGATCACTGAAAGGAATAGAGGGGTTTATTTCCAGAGTCCTGAATGAGGTCAAACTCCCAGCGAAGCGGCTGATCAGGACAGCGAGCAGCCATTTACTGATGCTGATTTACAATAAATGTCCTGAAGCGGCTGCAGCTTTTGTTCAGCAGACGGAGGCCATCGAGCCAAAGAGAAATAAACCTGCAGCTCACTGCCATGGAGTCTGTGGTTTGCTACGCATCAGCTGAGTCTGAATGATTTAATTAATTAAAAAATTGTTGAAATCTGATCCACTGGAGTAGAGCATCAAAAATATCAGGTTCTGCAGAAGGACTCTGAGCCAAAATGTTGTTTGAAGACATCAAATGTTTCCGTTTATATTGAGCTCACATACTGTACAGTTATGTTTCATCCAATTATTTCTGTGTTTTTAAATACATACCAAGCAGAAAACTTTCTATTTCAACACAGGAGAATTGTAACACTGCAACCCATATTTATTTTCCTAATTAGTACATCAGACTGAACTGGTTGTTCACTGTACTGCAAAAACAACCGATTCAAATCATTCAGATGTTCTTCTCTGTCTGGTGTCTGTTGAAACAACAACATGTAGAGTATTGAGAGCTGTTGTGGTAAATTATCATCACCTTTTATCCTGACCTTTATTTCTACTCTGTACTTTTCACACTGAGACACATGACCGTAGCCTTGCTAAGATGCACATTTTGTTTAGTTTCCTTTGTGCTATCCTTGGAGAAACCGTAGCATAAAGAGAAACTTCTGAAGGCCGACGTGCACCTGATAGCTGCTCAGCCCACGCTGCAGGCAGCAGACGCACACTCCCTGTTCATGCTGTGTATGTGCACAAACTGCTAGAAAACCGTGTCATCTTATTTTGCTCCTTGTCAGACCTTTTGTGTACAAGCTTTGTCCTTTTTCAGCTGAGAATGAGATTCACTCTGCATTACTTTACTAGACAGCAAAAGGATAAGAGTTGCTCCACTATGTAGCGTCATAAAGTAATTAATGCACAGACAACCTGCTTTTGATTGATCATAGAGAGCTGCAGGGATACAACCAGCAATGGTCCTCCTCCTCGACACACCAGTTTATCTCCGTAGTGCATTTAAAAGCAGGCAGTGGAGACTAAAGTGCAAAACTGAAAGTGCAGGAGAGGCAAACATAGAAATTACAGATTCAAGCAGAAAGACAAAACAAGGCGCTGAAATAGCTCAGATGGAACATAAAGACTTTTAAAAGCAGCACATCTGTGATGGCCACAGCCAGACAGAAGGCTGAAGAGTTCACACACTGACAACCACCACATGTTCTGTTACTTTGAGTTACAGCCCCTTAAATTACACACACACATAGTTTGATGTGTTAAAATAGATTATGAACACTTTGACAACACTGTTTTCTAGATGGAGGGCACACATTGTTTGTCATTTTGCTGTTAATTCATTTCTCTTTACCTGCCTGCTGCTGCTGCTGCTGCTGCATGGCACTTCCTGGTTGGAGAAGAACAAGAGGGCGGAGCTATGGCTTTATTCTGAAGGCCCTCTCACAGACCACATCAAGAGCTCTGACATCATGAGGGAGGATTTGGGTTTCTTTGTATTAGTTTTAGTTGTTGCTTATATAGTTTCCCTCCATGCGTTACATTTGGTCTGATCAGCCGGTATATATGCTGCCCCAGCAGGTCTGTTAGTTAAAGTCCAGTTTGGTTCGCCTTATGTTTCAGTAGAGCTTTATTTTGTTGACCTCTTTTAAAGAGTCCTGCAACTCTGATTTCAGTTGTTTGGTTTTTTTTGTAAAGGTTATTTTTTTTATTTATTTATTTTTTTGGATAAAATAAATCTGTCTTTTGTGAACTCTAAAACTTCTTCTTGATCCACGACAACATCTGAAGACATCAGCGAGCTCCAGGCCACATCCAGACTGAGATGGAGGATAAACTCAACTCAGTAGGTACCTGAACAAAACCCCAAATAAAACCTTAAAATTGGTTCTGGTGAAAAGGAACTGAAGCTCGTGTGATGTGTTGACGTCTTGCTGCTGCGTCCTGGATAGTGTGTATTTTCCACAGCAGGCTGATTAACCGCTGTGGAAAACACACACTATGCTATGCTATGACTCAAAGTAAAGGCATGAAACCAACTTACTGAATTCTTTAAGGCAGAACTGAGAGATGCAAAAAACACCAGAATCCAAGAACTCTTCCAGATACCAGTTTAACATTAGGAGTTAACCCTAAATCTCCAGGTTGTTGTTTTTTTTTTTATTTCTACTGGAAGACAAACCCAGATTCAGTCGGTCGGAGCTGCACAGCCGCGAGGCCGAGATGAACAACTGTGTGGATCAGAGCCAGTTCTGACATTAAAAACTTCCAGTTTCAGGCGTTAGACGTCATCAGCTGAGGACAGAAGCATCTGTTCACTGCTGGAGTCTCTGTGCTAAAGACAGAATCACCGTGAGAGGCTTCTGGGGTATAAATCTAATATCTGTTGCAGCTAAATTAGGTTGAAGGTAAGATCATGTTCTTATTGGTTCACGGTTGCTGTAGATCTGATCTGCTGGAGCCAGCATAAAGATCTGGTGCTCTTGTTATATTTTTCTTATGTTTTGTACATGCCGGTGTTGAAATACTCACTTTTCCCAAATAAATTAAATTAAGAGGTCAAATTCAGATTTTTTTTTTTGCTCTTCAAGATATCTAATACAACAGGCCTGTGTTTTTATCAGAACATTTGATGCTACAAAGATTCTAGGAATAAAAATAGTCATGATGAATTAGCCCTTCAAGCTCCAGGTTATTTTTTTTTTAGATGCCAGCTGAAAAACAGCCGCGTTCGGCCTGTAACAGCTGCACAGCTGTGAGGCCAAACTGAGCGACGCCGGGCTGCAGCATTTAGAAACACAATCACTCTCTGCGTCTCCATCAGCAGGTCGCAGCGAGATCTGGAAAAAAACTCCAGAGCAGCACCAGTAACCCCAGTACAAAGCTCCAACTGGTCGGGCAGGACTCATGTTACAGTTACGTCTTCTTATAATTGATTGATTTCATTTTTTTAGAGGTAAAACGCATCTGGAATTAGTGAAAAGCATCTTCCTGACAGCAGAATGACACATCAGACCATAAAAAACACCACAATTCAAGTTGATTATCACAGAAACTAAAGCTGCTCTTGGAATTTTTATTTATTTTTTTTCTCTAATCAATTAGTTTCAAATGAAATATCTGTCATCTGATCGGTTAATCAGCTCGAGTCAGAAGAGTTCATGAATCCTCAGGAGATGAAACCAAAGCGACACACTATTGAATTAAACTATTTATAGACTATAGACATATATGTAGCAGAGACATAAACAATAATGCAACAAACAAACAAACAAGAGGCTTAAAAACACAAATAATCTGTTTTCAAATGAAAAAGAGAAGAACAGAAGGATTCAAAGAAGCAAAAAAGCTCTGTGGTGTGATGATTTTTTAGTTTTTCCTCATCTGATGTGATCATAAACCAGTAATTTAAGACTGTAAAGACGAAATATGACAAACTGCTAATATTCAGGAACACGTTTTTCCACATTTCTGGACCAAACAATTCAAGACTGCGCTCTGTTGTTGTGTTTACAGCCAGGATCAGGTCAGTTTGACTATTCACTGAACTGCCACTTAGACCCTGGAGGCCAGAAGAACACAAAAGGAGTAGAAAGAGGACAAAAACACTGAGGAGGGATGATGGTGAAGAGGAGGAGGAGGAGGAGGAGGAAAACATAGGAGAGAGTGAAGATAGAAGAAGAATCATGGAGAGAAAGGAGAAGATTGTGGGGAAAAGAGAGAAAGTAGGGGAGGGGAGGCCATGGAGGAGACAGAAGGAGGGAGGGAAGGAGAGTCTGAGGGGGAGGAAGGAGAATAAAGGAATAAAAGGGGAGTAAAGCAGATGGAGATGTGTGGAGGAGGAAGAGGAGAAGAATGAAAGCGGGAGGAGGGACCAGAGAGATGGATGTGGGGGAGGAGAAAGAGGGGGTATCAGAGGGAGGAGGGGGAGGCAGACAGACGGGGTGAGGAGGAGGAGGAGGAGGAGGAGGAACAGGAAGAAGAGGAGGACGCACAGACACACGGACAGACTGCCGGCGGATCACGGAGCCTCCGCCGCCGCCTCTGAGCTGCTGCAGCCGGACACAGAAGCAGCACACCCCGGCCGCAGACACGGAGCCATGGCCGATGAAGGCGCCCCATCTACGGCCTGCACCGGCTCCAGCCTGCTGCAGCCGGTCAGCGAGATCACCAACCTGCCGCTGGACCAGGTAAGAGCCGCCGGGACGTCTCCTGCACATCAGCCCCGGGGGCCGAGCCTCGGAGCCGCGGCGGCGGCCGCTCCGGAGCTCCGGGGCGGGGACCGGGGCTGCTGGGCTCGGATAACCGGGGTGGTGGTGAGGAGGGGTGGAAGCGACGGGAAGCGGCCGGAGCGAGCAACACAAAAACGGCGGTGTGAGAAATGAAGAGGGCGGGTGAGAGGGGAGGTTTGTTAAAATGGATGGAGGCCTCGGATGTGTGGCTGGGTCGGTCCGTCTGTGCGGGTTTGTGCGGGAGGAGGTCTGGAGGCTTCACGAGCTGAGCCTGAGCAGGAGGCTCACGGAGCAGATCCCTGAGCATCCACAAGATCCCAGAATCATGTAGATGACAGGAGAGCTTCATCCATCAGCATCTGTGAGGAGGAGGAGGAGGAGGAGGAGGAGGCGTGTCTGATCCCAGCAGCAGGAGAACCTCATCAATATCTGCCTGCAAGGATCAAATATGATCATTGATTATTAGCAGACAGCTGGGCCAATCACTGATCAGCCTGAACACACGAATTAGGTAAAAACAATGAAGAGGGAATATTGTCTGCAATAATCTGGCAGCTGCTGGTACTCAGAGTGTACAAATACTCCATTACTATGAAAAAATACTCCCAGTTCAATACTTGGAAGTATAAGAAGCAAGACCTGCCCTGTGGCTGATATAATAAACCACATTATTGATCCTAATCAGCAGCAGCAGCAGCAGTCATGGCTGGATTACTGAGCAGCCTGTTGGGCCGGAGCCCAAAGAGTCACGGGGTTCTGGTCCGGAGCCTCTGAAGTGACGGTTAACAGTTTATGTTGGCAAGTCGATCAAAGAGCCACAACGAGACGCAGCTACAAAGAGCCACGAAACGGTGACCAAAAAAAAACAGACAAGTGACTACAAAGAGAGTCAGAAAGACCTGAAAGAGAAGCAAAATGAAGAGACCCAGAATGACCAAACGGATCCACAAACAGACCAAAGTTCATGAGCTGAGTTTGCAGACGTTCAGGTTCTTCTTCACTCGTGTTTCTACTCGTTTCCATGCAGGGCAGGTGGGGGGCCTTTTACAAGTCTGGGCTCAGGGGCCCACGGCAGCAGTTCCTCCTGTTGCAGCTGTTTGAACTACGTTTTATATCGACACGCTGTTCAGCTCAGCCGTTGCCCAACAGGCCCCTTCAAGGAGCCCCGAGTCCACAAAGTCAACTTTGCTGTTTGTGAAAATGAAACCAGAACTTTATCATCGCCATCGTGTGAAGCTGCAGACGAACATGGAACGATGTGACACTTTCACAAGTTTCCACCGTACAGACGGATGTTTTGAAGCCGTCAGCCTGCAAAAACTAATCAGTTAATTTATCAAATAACCAACAAACTGATGAAATAGTCGTTTGTTGCAGGAGTTGTTGTTTGATTCTTCAGCCTGGACTCCTTTGGTCAACTTACCTTTCTACTTCTACATTCTGCTGCAGGACTAATGATCATTTATATTGTTGATTAATCTTTTCTTGGCCTTTTTCTTAAATGCCTTTATTCCAGAGGACAGGACAGGACAGGTAGGGAGAGGAGTAGGGAAGGACATGCGGCCACTCAGCGATGGGTCGGACTCAACACCCGCTATACAAGGGCCACCTGCTCAACCAGTTGAGCTACTGGGGCGCCCCTGAATCCCAGTTGAGGAAAACACACAAAGTCCCAGAGTCCAAGGGGACGTCTTCAGATTCTGTTCAAGCTCCGCTCAAAACTACAAAATATTAGAATTATAGTCGTTCAGAGAAAACCAACAGATCAGTTTTGATGTTTCACATTTTATTCTCTAAAAAGCTAAACTGTTAATCAGTTATTGAAACAGCCGATGATTGAATTCTGTCGATTTGTTGTAAATTGTACTTTTGGCCAAAGTAGAAAGAAAGAACCCCAAAACAATATGAAAAGATACTCATAAGGCTGACACCAGAGGTTCACTGTATAGAAAGATATATAACCTTTCGTTCTCACTGTCCGACATTAAATGTGACTCAAGTTTTCCTGTTTTATGTCAGATTTTCTCATGTTGTCACAAAAGGAAGCAGCGTGTTTGAGGTGAGCCTTAAAATACATCCACAGGTGTGTCTCCAGTTAACTCAGTGAACCTATCAAAAGCTTCCAAAGCCATGACATCATCATCTGGGCTTTCCCAAATAGTTTGAAGGCATCTTCATGTATGTAAACTTCTGACTTTGAAGAAAGTAATAAAAAAGATTCTCTCTCTCATTATTCTGGTGTTTAGCAAATAGAAATAATGTTGGTAATCCTAACTGACCTAAAGCAGGAAAAGTTTAGTCTGATTTAATGTCAGACAGCGAGAAAAAAAAGAAAGTTTCATGTCTTTTAAACTGTGTGGTTTCAACTATAAAGATGATTTAAAGCTGACTGCTTATTTTGAGATAACTATAATGAAAATGTATTGTACAATCCCTAAATTAACAGGAATGAAAAAAATCTAACCACTGAAGTAAAGAAGAGAAAGAATCAGGTCTAAAATCACAAACAACAAAAACAGCACTTCCCAATACGTTCCATCTGTCAGTAAAGATATCAGGATAAATGAAGCCACAAGAAACAAAAGGAAAATAAACTGAACCGAAATGTGGAGTTTGTTTAGTGAGCGAGGCCTAAAATCAGGCTGATAAACACATCTGTAGGTAGAAATACGAGTGAAATAACACTGGAAACAAAAACCTGTTCAGTCTGACAAAGACGATAAAAACGGCTTTAATATCTGATGGATGATCAACACACAGGAAACACAGAGTACCAGTCATCCAGTAAAACCACATCGTCCTCCTCGCAGGTGATACCATCAGCCGTGTAACAGGTAGACGTTGCTGCGCTCCGATTGGCCGAGAGCCAGGCCTCCGGTGACCCGGTTGAATCCTGATGATCCAGATCCTGGATCAGGTGACCCACACCGTTTGTTCCACTGCTACTTCTTGAAACAAACTCAGGACATGGATCCTCTAAACCAGCTGCTGGTTTACTGGTTTTACTGGGAAACACTGAGCTCACACTGGTCTGGAGTTCATTTAAAGTCAACATCTGCGCCGTGAGAATGTTTGGATCGTTATTCTCACAGTTTAATCGTAACAACTGGATGTTTCTTGAAGACGTTCCACCTCTCATCCAAGAGGCTTCATCAGCTCTGACTGACTCGTTGGGAGCTCCACATACTTATATCCTAAAGGAGACGTTAACACCTGAATGTCACGTGTTGAAGATGAAGGCTCTTGGATGAGAGGGGAAACGTCTTCAAGGAACTCAAGCAAGTCCAGTTGCTACGATTAAACTGCTGTGACCTGGATGAATCTTCACAGACATGTTTGGATCGTTGTTGTCCAGCTGCTGAGAACGAAAACCAGAACCTCAGACATGACGTGGTGCTGAACAACGACTACTGAGACATTCCTTTTACACATTGAGACCTTCTTGTAGTGTTCTCTTTGTGACACCAGCAGTCGACTCCTGCTGCTGCAAAACAAACCCAGATACCTTCCAGGCCTTCAGGACTCCTCCATGTTGGGTCCCTGCAGCCTGGTCCTGCACAGAGAGTCAGTGGAGTCCAGCTCTGCAGCTTCAGACTGGATCAGTGGGACAATTTGTGTTCGTTTGGGCCAGATGTGGAAGTTTTTCTTCCCTAAACACAGCGAGCGGCCACAGGTAGCAGCGGCAGACGTTTTGAACGTCTGACAGTAATCACTCAGTTTACACGGCGTCCATTATTCATGACGGACACGTCGACACATCGCCTCGGTTTACAGCCAGATCAGATGCTGCTGAACGCAACAAATATCATGTAAATACTCTCTGAATACGGCACAGCTGCTGCTGATGGTACTCTGTGGATACTGCACAGATGCTGGAGAAATACTCAGTAAATATCCTGCAGAAAGACGAAGAGCCTCCTCTCTCCATCCATCTTGTGTTGTTCACTGAACAGCAGCGTTAATTGACTCTTTCAGCTCAGTGACCTGTGTGACCCTCTGACTGCAGCTCGCTGCGCTTCATGACGACAATAACGGACGCGTTCTCTCACATCCTTCACTGCAGGACAACGCCGAGTAAAGTCCGCTAAAGTCAACGTCCGGCATTAAAATGTGTGTTTCATGTGAAATCCTGTGTTATGGGCAAAATGTGGCGGAGCAACTTGTTTGTTTTATATTTTGTTGTGATTGTTTGTGTCTCGTTGTGGTTGTTTTGTGTATTTTGCTGCTGATTTAAGTCTCTTTGTGATTGTTTTGCGGCTGTTAGTTGTTGTTTTATGTCTCTGTGGTCATTTTGTTGTCATCGTGGTTGTTTTGTGTCTCATTGTGGTCATCTTGTGTATTTTGCTGCTGATTTAAGTCTCTTTGTGATCGTTTTGCGTCTTTTCGTTGTTGTTTTACGTCAGGTTGTAATCATTTTGCAGTTTTTGTGGTCATCTTGTTTGTCATTGTGTTTGTTTTGCGTCTCTTTGTGGTCATTTTGTGTATTTTGCTGCTGATTTGAGTCTCTCTGTGATCGCTTTGCGGCTTTTCGTTGTTGTTTTACGTCTGTTTTTGGTCATTTTGCAGGTTTTGTGGTCGTCTTGTTTGTCATTGTGGTTGTTTTCTGCCTCTGTTGTTGTTTGGTGTCTCCTTGTGATTGTTTTGCATCTTTTCGTTGTCGCTCTGTGTCTCGTTGTGATCATTTTGCAGTTTTTGTGGTCATTTTGTTTGTCACTGTTGTTGTTTTGTGTCCCTTTGTGGATATTTTGTATCTCATTACTGATGTTTGATTTGTATACCTCCATACAACCAACAGCTTCAGCTTCATCTGTGTTTTGCCTCTTCTCATCTTTTGTGTATTTTTGCAGACGGGCACGTTGATCTGTCGTCTCTTCGCTGTCTTTTTATGGTTCTTTTGACGTCTCTTTTTAGTCATTTTATGTTTCTTTGTGGTGGCTTTGCATCCTTTTCTTTGTGTTTCGCTTCTCCTCATCATTTTGGATCTCTTTGTGTTTGTTTTGTTTCTGTGGTCATTTTGGATCTCACTGGAGATGTTTTGGGTCTTTGTGTCTCTTTGAAATACTTTCAAACTAAACGTCTTTGAGCCTTGCCAGGGACCTGTGGTGTCCGTGGGCTCTAACCCTGTACATGATTATTTATTATACGTAGTTAAAGCAGGTCTAGATGAACACCAGCGAGCGTTGGTGCTGTTGTTTGCTTGAGGTGAAGCAGGTGTTGAACGAATCTCTGCAGAGTTAAAAAAAAAAAAACCTAAATGAACCTTAAACGTAATGCAGTGAACCTGATACGTGTTAATGGGGGACTGAGAAGCTCTTTGGAAAGAAGCTGTGTAAAAATGCAGCTCTTAGCTTTTCTGGTCAGATTAAGCGTCCTGATGGAGCGGACCGCTGGGCTTCCTGATGGTTTTACTGAACGCTCAGCTTTTCCTCTCGGACACCTCTGGACTGTAGATGGATGGATTTTGTGTGATGTAATCTGTCTCGTGGACAGCAGGTCTTGGCTCGCCAACTATAAATATCTTCTGAAGGTCTAATTTTATCAGTAGAGACGTCAGAGACTTTGAGTCAACAGAGTTCAGCCTCAAACAGCCGTGAAGTGCTGCTGCTGCTGTTAACGACGTAACCGGTGATGCTCCTCCAGCCTGACCTGTACAAACCTCTCTTCCCCCTCTGCTTGTGTCTGCAGGTGAACTTTGTGGTGTGTCAGCTCTGTGCTCTGATCTCAGCCTTCTGGTTTCGTCTCTTCCTCCATCCCAGTAAAACCAGTCCCTTCATCAGACATGTGGTGGCGACTGTACTGGGACTCTACTTCGCTTTGTTCTGCTTCGGATGGTAAGATGGACTACGATGCTGGATTTCTACCAGTCCTCTGAACCCAAAGCAGTTTCTGGGTTTTGCTTTGCTCCTGTTACAGTTTTACTCTCTGTGGGCTCATTTTATAGACAATATAAAGTCCTGCTTAGAATAAAGTCGATGGAAACGGCACAACAAATGAAGTACAGAGAAGAAATTAAAATTCAAGTTTAATTTCTTTGATCATTTATTTTACAAAAATTGAAAAACAATTGAGATTCCTATGTACAGCATCTTTCCAAGTGCCCACAGGTGTCACCAACACTGGAAGGAACTGTGAGCTCCACATGCTGTAGACAGGCTGATTGACTTGTAGGTGTTTCCACACTAATGTTTGCTTCGGCTCTAGAAACATTTCCCACCATCCATCCATCCATTTTCTATACACTGCTTAATCCTCATTAGGGTCGCGGGGGGGCTGGAGCCTATCCCAGCCGACTTAGGGCGAAGGCAGGGGACACCCTGGACAGGTCACCAGTCCATCGCAGGGCCACACTTAGAGACAGAGACAGACAACCAAGCACACTCACATTCACAACTACGGACAATTTAGAATCACCAATTAATATTAACCTGTCCCTTTTTGGACTGTGTGGGAGGAAGCCGGAGAACCCGGAGAGAACCCACGCTGCACGGGGAGAACATGCAAACTCCACGCAGAAAGATTCCGGTGCCCCCACCGGGACGCGAACCGGCAACCTTCTTGCTGCGCTACCAACTGCGCCACCTTGCAGCCCGATTTCCCACCATGCTGAATGCATCTTCAGACAATTTACAGACAACTTACTCTCTGTATCTGGTTTCTGAGTCATGCTGCATTATTTTATGGTTTCATTTCGCTCTCTGCCTCTCTATTTTGCTTCTATACTAGTCTCCTGCACAGCCTGCAGTTCAGTTGAATATTTATTCAGCGTTGTCACGTGACTTCTGATTGAAGCTGAGTCAACCATCACCTCTTATTGGCACTAAGGAGTGTAGAGCTTATTTTATTTGAGGAGTATTTTGGCTTTTTTTTTTTGGAATGAAACACGTAGAATCAAGAGATTTAGCTAAAATATCACGATTTTAAGAATATGTTTGACAGTTGTTCTGGATGGAACCATATGTCAACGTGATACGCTCATTGATTGTTGTAAGTCAAAAATCTGATGATTATCTTTGATTTTACTGTTTCTGGCTGTGAAATGCTGTATTTTCGATGACTTTCAAACTTGCTGATGGGTTTTGGGGTTAACAGATTTAAATCTGTTCTCTCAAACTGACTCAGGTCTGTAGTGTTTCATTTTTTTTTAAAAATCTACCCGTCGGGTCTTTGATGGACAAACCAGGATGTTTCTCTACTGACAACAAACCCTGGGGTTTGTCAGCCTTTGGTTACAGTTGGTTCATGTAATTTTCCACAAATATAAACATTGAAAAGTCGACTTAAAATGTGTTCATATACAGTTGAAACCAGAAGTTTACATTCACTGAATGAAAAGACACAGAAGCTTTTTCCTTCTCACTGTCTGGCATTAAATCAGACTAAACTTTTCCTGTTTTTGGTCAGCTAGGATTACCGACATTATTTGTTTGCTAAATGATGACATCATCATCTGGGCTTTCCCAAATAGTTTGAAGGCATCTTAGTGGATGTAAACTTCTAAATTTTAAGAAAGTAATAAAAAAAAAATCTAAAAATCTCTAAAAATTTCTCTCTCTCATTATTCTGGCATTGAGCAAATAGAAATAATTTTGTTTATCCTAACTGACCTGAAACAGGAAAAGTTTAGTCTGATTTAATGTCAGACAGTGAGAAAAAAAAGTTTTATGTCTTTTTACACAGTGGATGTAAACTACTGGTTTCATCTGTGTGTGTTTTTGAAGAAGCAACTCTTTAAATGTTAAAATCCATCCCAACTAAACTTTATGCACAGAAATCACTTGAAGTTACAAGGATAAAGATAACAATCAATTGTCTTTTAACAGTGTTCATGTCAACCTGTTTTACCTGTGATTGTTGTGTTTCCTCTGTTCTGCAGGTATGCTCTTCACTTCCTGGTTCAGAGCGGACTCACCTACGGAATCATGATCCTGACCGGAGTGGAACACATGCACAAGTAAGCTTCAAAAACAAAGTCCATGAATCACAGCTTCATCTTGGATCCCTATAAAGAAAATCACTGTTTTAGTGAAGGTTTGTTGTGGTGGATCCACTGTTCATAGAGGAATCACTGTTAATGAGCTCAGAAATAAACCAAAGTCTCAGTCAGATCCAGTAAGTTCAGAGTTTATTCTGATGGAGATGGATTTCTATTCCCTCTGACATCCCTCAGAGGGAATCAGTCCAAATCTGTTTCTTTAATCGCAAATCATACAGAGGATGTAATTCAGAGAAGGATTAACACTGTCATAAAAAAACAATCTGAAACCTTGACTACCAAATTATTACATAAAAAACACCTAAAAAGTGATGCATTGATGAAGAGACACGTTAAAGGTTGCAGCGGTTTTAAAGTCCACTGCTCAGGAGATGTTTCTCACTTCATCTGGGCTGTTATCAGATATAAGGGCGAACACGTCTGGGACTAATTCATGGTACCCGGGGTGCTTTTAATCCATGCCCCCTACCAAACAAATCTCTGTTTGCGTCTTGTAAGATTTGTCGGTGCAAAACAGACGACTGTCCAGGGGACCAAAATGGCACCTGTTTATCCACGTCCACTGGTTTTGGCAGTCAGAATCATTCTGAATGTGTTTGGCCCAAAGGTTTTTATTTTAAAAGTTGTACTTGAGAAACAGATTCCTACATAAAGTCGTGTTTCATCTGATAGCCACAAGCTCAGACATGTTCAGTCTTGTTCCAGGTCAGGAAGCCTCCTTAAACTGGACATACTGGGAACTTGGAGGTAGCCGTCATGTCAGAAACAGCAAATATTCTGTTAACTAGAGCAATGTATGGCTCTAAGCAATCTGCCAGCAGAGTAAAGATGACTTGATAAGTTTTCTTGGAGCATAAAAATGCATCAATTAAACATGAGTGTACTGAGCAGCCAGGAGTTTACATCAAGTCCTTATAACATGAAGCTGCTGCAGCTTTAACTGAGCCAGAATCTACACAATATGTATTTTAATTCAACCTAAGTGATCTACAAAGGTCTGAACAATAGAAATAGTTCGTTCTCTAGTGAAACTTGAACCTTTCAAGCAAACAAAAATCACTTGACGGAAACTAAAACTTGGTCAAATCTTAAAGATGAACAAAAAAAGATCAGATCTGACTAAGTGAGCATACACTCTCAGAAGTACAAGCTTTACATGCGTCAAAGTGGAGGATCTCATCGTCAGACTGATTTATTGATGGAAAACCTCTTGAGTTACCCTGAAACTGGTCCCGCTCCTATTTATCTTTGATGAGAAGAATCCGATGGCATCACCCTGGAATAAGATTTCTGTTTTTGCGGAGTGACCTGACTCAGCTGGTCATTGTCCCGACGTCATACCTGCTCTGCAGAGGATGAGCCCTGCACATGTTCATGATGTTTCCTGTAGCTCAGGACAGACTGCGTATTTCCAGCTCTGAAGTCGTGTCGTTAAATGATGGCCTGTTTTCTGCAGATACTGCCTCCTGGTGGCTCTCAGCTATCTGAGTCTTTGTCAGATCACTCGGGTCTACGTCTTCGACTACGCCATGTACTCTGCTGACTTCACAGGGTAACAGCACACTCACATCTGATTACACCTGTCTGCTCACATTGGCTCTGAGTTATGGTCACACCAGCCTGTCAAGCATCTCTAGCAGATCCTTAGTGAAGTCAACTCTTTGTCCTCACTGCTGTTATTCTCTCTCCAGCCCAATGATGGTGATAACACAGAAGATCACCAGCCTGGCGTTTGAGATCCACGACGGTAAGCTTCAAACAGAGCTGCTGGACTTTGGATGTTTGTCACTCAAAACTGCGACTTACTCTCAGTTTGCTGTCTGACAGGAATGGCTCGAAAAGAGGAACATCTGACGGCTGGGCAGAAGATTCTGGCGATAAGGTTTGTCTCGCTGTGTTTGAGGTTGAGTCTGAAGATGCTGAGCCGCTGTGGTGAGCAGAGCTGACTGGTGTGTCTGTTTGCTCAGGAGGATGCCCAGTCTGCTGGAGTACTTCAGCTACAACTGCAACTTCTTGGGGATCCTGGCCGGACCCACCTGCTCCTACAACGACTACATCGCCTTCATAGAGGGAGACCCCCGTCGCCATAGAGACCAGGAGGCCGACAGGAAGTCCAACTGCAAGCTGAGGCAGAGCGAGCCCTCGCCAAATGTAGGTCACATGACCGCCTCGGCTCCGATGCTCTCAGAGCCTGTTTAAAGCTCTGCCTCTTGTTGTGAAACCAGAGCAGCTCCATTCATTATTCAGAGGAGTGATGCAGACAAAGTGTCCACTCAGTGACCAGACTCTGTTAAAACCACACAAACTGTTTATGATGGAAGAAAACAAAGTCCTCCAATGTAAACGACAGCACAGGTGGTCCGTCCCTCTGACACAACCAGACGGTACATAAAAGATGGACGTAGCTGGTGGGTCTGAAGCCAAGAACGAAGAGTCTGTGCTCTTCTTCACAGCCAGCAGGGGGCGACTCCTCTGGTCGCAAAAAGAAATCTGAATGTATAAATGTCTATGAATCTAACTCTTCCTTGGTTTGTTAACTCAGTAAACATCTTCCAAATGAGTCGATGGTTTATGCTCAGCATAGATTTTAATTCCGTTAATTACCGTCCCATTCAGAGTAAAGTAGATGATGAAGCTTCAGGGCAGCACTGCCTTGTGATTGACAAGCTATCTCATCGTGTCCTTGGGTTCTCCAGTCAGATCCACCCCCAGTTGTTTACATCCGGTTTCAGAAGATCAAGATGGCAAAAGGCCAAACTCGAGGCTTCACAGCAGTGATAAACAAACAGATGGGGGGTTTGGTTTGGTTGAAGGAAAGATTCTGGTTTGGGTTGGAATAAGTACTCTGTAAGAGTTAGACAATCCACATTGAAGTTCTAAACAGTGGTTAAAGAAACAGCATTTAATGAGTTGAAGACAGGAAAAAAACACCAGTCTCCGGGTTAAAGTCGGCCCATCCATCCACCCCGGCCTCCTCCCTACACTCACCTTGTAGGTTTGTAACTGTATCACCTGACTTTATGCGAGGCCTCGGCCATAAAACGATAGCAGTAAGTACCTGCAATCAATGTCAGTAAGAAATCATCAGAAAAGTTTGATAGTTTTACGTAAAAGGATTCAATGCAATCCACGGTATAAGTGCGTAACACGCTGTCTCATAAACAGCCTGTTATCTTCCTTGATAATGGAGTGTGCTACAAGTGACACAAACAGACGATCATTTACCAGTTTTACTAACAAATTGTAATCGAAAAAGTTCAGGTCGGCACAGCACTAAAACGAGACGTGGCGGTAGGTCTCTAGCTCACTAGCATAGCGGCTGTTTTTTGGTTTGGGTCGAAGTTCGTGAAAGCCATTGCAGTGGTTTAGCCATCGCTTGCATTCAGCTGTTAGTGAGCGGCGTCGGCATTTAGATTCATGAACACCCGCAGACAGATTCTTAAGTTGTATTGGTAGCACTAAAAGTCAGTCAATTAGAAAAGCACAAATAAGATGAATGTAAAGTTAAGTAATTTGCTCGTCCTGACGTTCTTTTTAATGATGAACTATAAGAAGTGGCTAAATTTGGTGGTGATAGATCTTTCAGCTGTACTGCCCAGACAAATTGTCTGAAACTAAATGAGAATCATTTTGTTTCCCCTCAGATGGAGGTCGTCCGTAAAGTTGCCACCTCCTTCTTCTGCCTCCTGGTCTTTCTGTCGGTGTGTAAGGTTTTCCCCGTGGAACGAAACATTGATGACAACTTCATCGCCAACACGCCGTTCTATGCTCAGGTGGTCTACCTGTACCTGTCCATGGTGACCACCAGACCCAAGTATTATTTTGTGTGGACACTCGGTGAGTGAATGAAACTTGAATCCTTTCTTTATGTCTGGACAGTGGATCCACAGAGTGTACTGATAGTTTTCATGCTACGAAATCCAACAGAATAAGCTTTTGTTCTGATAAACACCACCGACTGCCACAGCTGGTTGGTCAGACGAAAGGACAAAAATAATATGCGTATGACATACACAGAGTAGGCATCTAAAATTTTATCTTAACTGGTCTGACATCAGCCTGTATTACCCATCCAACAGCTGATGCCATCAACAACGCTGCTGGCTTTGGCTTCAATGGCTACGACAGTGACGGCTCTCCTCGCTGGGACCTCATCTCCAACCTGAGGATCCTTAACATCGAGGTCAGGACAGTCAGGGATCTGGACTTCATACACTGTGAAACGATTTGATTTGTAGTCAGTCTGATCAATCTGTGTTTGTTTCCAGTTTGCCACCAGCTTCAAAGTTTTCCTTGACAACTGGAACATTCAGACGGCACACTGGCTCAAAAGGTCCGAATGCATTTACTCTGTTTTAGGGGCTGATTTTTCAGCACTAAATCTGCTTTCTTTATAGTTGTTTTGGTTTCTTTGGGGTTGTTCGGTGTCTTTTTGTGGTTTTTGGCTGGATATTTTACATTGTTTACGTGTACAATTTATGAACCTGCCTGATGTAACCAGCTGTACATAACATGCACAGACTGCTGTTTGTTTGTGACCTCTGACCTCTGACCTCTGCTTAACAGAGTGTGTTACGAGCGATGTCCCTACCACCCCACAGCAGCCACCTTCATCCTGTCAGCCATGTGGCATGGAGCCTATCCAGGATACTACCTCACCTTCCTCACCGGCATCGTCGTCACGCTGGCTGCCAGAGCGGTGAGCTGTTCTGTTAACTTTTTGCTGGTATCTTAGTCGTCAACTATTAGCTTAGGGAGCCCACTGACTGCTGACCATTTTATAGGGTGTAACAATTGTAAGTTAACATTGAGGCAGCACTACAGGACGGCAAACACACAATATAGTGCGCAGTTAATCATTTCAGACACAGCAAAACTGTTAGCCTAGGAGTCCACTAATTCTTAATTGTTAGTTTATGAGCCCACTGTTAGCTTTCGAGCCTAGCAACTGGTAACAGTTAGTTGATTAAACCCAATAACGATTGCCCATTAACTGATGACCTCGTTAAGTCACTGTTAGCTGTTAGCTGACGACCCCCTGTTGGTACGACACATTTAAAATTATTGTTGTGTCTAAGCTAGCACTGTCAAGTGGCTCTCATGATTTTAAATGTATTTTTTGCCGTTATCTGAATAAAAATCTTGTCTTCCTCCCCTAAAGGTGAGACACAACGTTCGGCCATACTTCCTACAATCACCCACCCACAAAGTGGTCTATGATGTCATCACGTGGGCGGCCACTCAGATCGCCATCTGCTACACAGTGGTGCCTTTTGTCCTGTTGTCTGTGGGTCCATCGATAAAGTTTTACAGGTTCGTACGTCAGCCAGGTTGAAGTTTTACTTTTCACATCACCAAGTGTTTATTGTCATGGTAATTTCAGATGTTTCTGAGCTCTATACAGCTACCTTACCTTAACATGCAGATTATTGTTTTCACCCTACTATTTTCACTTTGACATGAAAGAGTCTTTTTTTTTTGTAAATTCTTGTTAAAAAATCCACATTCTAGTTGCAATGACTCAAAGTTATAAACCAATGAAGGAGGAAAACATCCAAGGGAGGAATTACTTTAATTCTAACAGATGTATCACAAGCTATCATACAGTTATTTATTAATTACACACGTCACAAACTCTGGAACCTGTCAGCGGCTTCACCTCGCGTCTCCTCCTTCCTCCCTGCAGGTCGTGGTACTTCAGCCTCCACATCGGTTGTGTTCTGCTGGCCGTGGCGTTGCCTGTCAAACCGAGACATCTCCGCCTCAAAGACCAGCAGAAGAGAACCCTCCAAGAGTCAGCTCAGCACCACCTGGAGGGTTCAGACAGCAACTGCAGCCAGAAGGAAAAAACCACATGAGACAGAGGACAAAGAATATTCATGGACAACGTCATATTTCCATGACAAGGTGAACCGTCACAGGGAGCTGCCTGCTAGCCTGGGTACAGAAACTTAATGGGCAGTACTGTAATATTTGGGACATTGGGATGAAAATAGACCCTGTGTTGTACCAAGTCTTTAAAAAGGAAGTGCGACTGCCAGGATAGTGTCTGGACTCAAGCGGTTTTTGGGTCTGTCGGCAGATTTAGACAAATCTGCGATGTTGGAGGATATATATATATAAATACATACTGTGTGTGAATCAATACAAACTGCCCTGAACTGTCATGGCCACCTGCGCTGAAGTGACTCCACTTTCTTCCTGACACCTGCGAACTGTTGATCTGCAGGTATGAGTGAATAAAGGAAGGGAAGAAAACGAAAGGATGAATAGGAAGGAAGTAGATGGATGAGTGAATGAATGAATGAATGAATGAATGAATGAATGAATGAATGAATGAATGAATGAAAAGTACAGTAGGCAGGTGGATGACTAAATGAGTGAATTAAAATCCAACTGATTAAACCACTACATCACAGTATTCACATAAGTTGGAGAAAGTGCCAATAATTGTTCCACTCAGTCGCCTTAGTTGTTTTCATTTTTACAAGATGAATAAAAATGCTGCTTTGCAGGAGTGCAGACCATTTTCACGGCAGATGCATACTAGTGGTATTCAGATCTTGTCACTGTATGGGAAGTGCAGGTGTATTAAAGACAGTTTGAGGTGGTCCTGTTTTTGTGCATGCTGGTTCGCTGTCATGGCCCACTGGGACGACTAATGGAACAGCCACATTATCTACACCAGTACTTTCATTTACTGTCTCAAGCCAAAATGTCTGCGGTGAAAATGGTCCATTTGCTCGATTTCTTGATGTGCGAGCGGAGAGGACGGCGTCACGTTTACATTTGTAGATGTCAGTTTTGGTCAAGTTGTTGTTTATGTCATTTCATTCCAAAAAGATGTAAGGGTTCAATATATCGTGTTTGCAGAATCAACTTGAAGAACAGGAAAACACTGGAAAAAGAGTTTATACTTTATGTTTGATGATGTGAGCTGTAAAGCTGCCCAGATAAGATTTCTCCACCATGAAAGGATCGTGCTGGTTTAATGAAGGGGTTAACTTCCTTAGCTCAGCAAGTTTAACTGTTGCTATAGTTCATTAGTTTAGTTTAGAAGCTAAACTAGTTGATTTGGGTAACCAACCACTCCAATCTAAAAGAAAAAAAAAATGTCACACTAAACCTGTGCCAAACTTTAGAGGTTGCATCCTTCAAAAGTCGAATACAAAGGTGGGACTGAGCATTGTTAAATGTGACGGCCTGGCCTATGGAGGGCTCGCTGTTTAATTTAACCTCCACATCCTTTGAAGATGTGGCCTTTGTAGACCTCGTCCTTCAAAGGATGCAACTTCTAATAAGGGCACAGATTGGCAAAAGTGTTAGTTAAGTCAGTTTGCTTCAGGATAGCTGACCTTAATTACCCGGTTATGTGTTTCATGCTAGCTAATGATTTGAACATATTTGTTTTGGGATAGCCAGCAGCTCAGTGTAGAAGCTAATACGGTTAATTTTTGGTTAGCTAACGCTTCAAGTGTGGAAACTAAAACTGTTTGATTCAAGTTAATCAAAGGTTAATTTTGGTGAAATTCAATTTGATTATTGGTTAACAAACGACTTACTGTGGATGCTTAAACAGACAAAACAGGTCAGCTAAAGAGGCTGTTAGCACCTTTAAATGCTACAACTAATGGTTCTGTTTGGATGCTAAACTATTTGACGCAGATTAGCTATTAGCACCAAGCTAAAACAGTTGCGGTTTGCTTTAGGTTCGCTGATGCTTTACTTATGAATCTAAACTCACGTGGTTTTGTTTCTAATCAGTGTGTTTCATGTTAGCTAACAGCTCAGTGTAGGAGCTAAAACAGTTTGCTTTCGGTTAGCTGATAGTTTAGTGTGGCAACTAAAACATTCATAATGAAACAGTTTGGTTCATGTTAACTAAAATTTAGCTACACAAAAGTTTATTTTTGGTTACCTAACAGCTCAGCGTAGACGCTAAGACGGTCATATTAAAACAGGTTTGGTTCTTGTTTGTTAATCAAAGGCTCAGTTTAGCTAAAAGAAAGTTTATTTTGGGTTCACTAACAGCTCAGTGTCGACGCTGAACTCGTCAGTTTAAGTTAGCAAATGGTTCAGCTTCGAAACAACAGCTAAGGACGGGTATCAGTCAGTCTCTCCAGCAGCTGTAAACGTTATGTTCAGATTAGACGAAGGTTTCGGTTTCATACGAGAAAACAGTTATTCTCCTGCACTAACGTATTATTCCAGCAGTATTGTTTAAAATGATGCATCACACCATGTCAGTACCAACACCACATGGTTCTGAAGGCCAGTATGTGGATTCAGAATTACTGCTTTGTGTTTGTAGTCGTGTCTTCTTTGCAACATCAGGAAAGCACCTTTCTAAATGTATCTGTATGTTTTCCTGTTTCCATGTTTGTATTTTTAGTGTTGTGTTTATTTCTTACAATTTCCTGACACCTGGTTAAAGATGTGACATTACTTATAAATATGTTGAGGTGGTACATATCTAATGTTCTGACGGGGAATCAGTTTGATATGGACAATATGTTTGTTTTTTGTAAATGATGTGATTAAACCTTGGATTTTTTGACACTTGCTCATTTGTGATTGCTACTGAACAGTAACTCTGATATCATACTGTCGAAAGGGGCCAGCATCGATTACTAAGTGGATGTTCACGCTGGATTATGCAGTTGAAAACAGAAGTTTACGTACACTGTATAAGAAGACACAAAACTTTTTGTTTTTCTCTCACTGTCTGACATTAAATCAGACTAAACTTTTCAGTTTTGGATTATCAAAATTATTTCTATTTGCTAAAAGTCAGAAGTTTACATCCACTAAGATGCCTTCAAACTTTATGGGAAAGACCAGATGATGATGTCATGGCTTTGGAAACTTTTGATAGGTTAATTGACAACATTTGAGTTAATTAGAGGCACACCTGTGGATGTATTTTAAGGCACACCTCAAACACTCTGCTTCCTTTGGTGACAACATGGAAAATCTAAAGAAATCAGCCAAGATATGAGGAAGAGAACCGTGGACTTCCACAAGTCTGATTCATCCTTGGGTACAATTTCCAGATGCCTGAAGGTTCCACGTTTTTTTGTTCAAACAATTATACACGACTATAACCACCATGGGAATGTCCAGCCATCATAGCGCTCAGGAAGGAGACGGGTTCTGTGTCCAGAGATGAAGTGTTTTGGTGAGAAATGTGTGAATCAACCCCAGAACAAAAGCTAAAGACCTTGTGAAGATGCTGCTGAAGCTGGTCAGAGAGTCATTATCCACAGTGAGACCAGTCCTGTACCGACATGGGCTGGAAGGATGCTCGGAGAGGAAGAAGACATTACTCCAGAAGAAACATGAAAAAGACAGATTACAGTTTGTAAATGCACACAGAGACAAAGAGCTTAATATCTGGAGACATGTCCTGTGGTCTGATGAAACTAAAACTGAACTGTTTGGCCTTAATGACCATCGTTACATTTGGAGGAAAAAGGGGGACGCTTGAAGCCTGAGAACACCATCCCAACTGTGAAGCACGGGGGTGGCAGCATCATGCTGAGGGGGTGTTTAGCTGCAGGAGGGACTGGTGCACTTTACACAATAGATGACATCATGAGGAAAGAACATGATGTGGAAATATTGAAGCAACATCTCAAGACATCAGCCAGGAAGTTAAAGCTTGGGCACTAATGGGTCTTCAGATGGACAATGACTCTAAACATACCGCCACATTAGTTACGAAGGCTGAAGGACAACAAAGTCCATGTTTTGGAGTGGCCATCACAAAACCCTGATCTCAGTTCTGTTGAAAATATGTGGCAGAGCTGAAAAAGAGTTTGGAGCAAGGCAGCTAACAAACTTGACTCAGTTCCACCAGTTCTGTTGGAAGAATGGGCCAGAATTCATCAAACTATTGTGAGAAACTTGCAGAAGGAAACCCAAAACATTTAAATCAAAGTCATACAGGTTAAAGACAACGCTACCAAATACTGAGGAAATGGATGTAAACTTCTGACTTTGAAGAAAGTAATTAAGAAATATTTAAACTATTCTCTCTGTCTCACTATTCTGGCATTTAGCAAATAGAAATAACTCTGATCATCCTAATTGACCTAAAACAGGAAAAGTTTTGTCACATTTAATGTCCAACAGTGAGAAGAAAAAACGTTTATGTCTCTTTTTATACAGTGTGTGTAAACTTCTGGTTTCAACTGTACCGACAGTGTGGGATGGGATTCAGCTCCAGGCTTGTACTTCAGTGGAGTTTAACAGTAAGATAAGATGTGACGTCGTGTAAACTCTTTGCACTTTAAACTCCAATAAAGCGACAGTGAAGCAGGCTGAGCAGAGCTCCACGTGACACTGTGCTGTTAATAATTATATTTATACCTTAAAATGATGATAAACCGACCTGATAATGTTTCCAGAGTTTGTGGTTGAAGAATTTTAAAGCCACCAGCACAGATCAAACACATCAATAAAAGTACAGCTGCATACATTCTTTTTATCCACCCAAAACCTTTATACAAAACAGATTTTGATATTTTATTTCTTGATCAGACATCTTCCTGCCCTTTAGTCTGGAGTTGGGATTATTACACCAATGACCAAGAAATGTAATCTACTGTTTCTGTCTATCTGACACCTTATTGTTATTGATTTATTGATCAAATGACCAAGAATTGTCAAATCTGCGCCTTTTTCTTGTACTTTCATGTTTGTCCAGCAATGAATAATGCTAATGTTGCTTGTTTCCTTTTCTAACAAGTTTGGCAGCTGCATGTACTTCTGGATATTTTACCAGTTAGTGCACAGTTCTGGAAATTCTGAAAGATTAATTTGCCTTTCATCCATGTTACAGTTCAAACAGTAGTCA